AATATTGAAAAAAAATGGAAAATAGCATTAAGTTTGGTGTCTGTGTTGGAATTATGTAAAACTTGAAGAATTCATTTTTGTACTGACATTGACTATATACTCCGATGGTTCGACTCTCCAATTTCAAGAGGCGCTGTAACACAACCCATGCCACATTTTAATGTAATATCTCCAGAGCTCTAGGTGCTGTTGCTCCAGGGCAGTCAGGAGAGCACCTAGAACCAGATTTTCTGGCATTCCATGCTGTTATGTGAATATAAAACAAGGTAAGCCAGGACTAAGGACTCATGCAGTGCTTGATAAGAAGCTATACTTTTGGTTAGGAATTCAAAAGCCACATATTTATAAATAAACAATCAAACCATAATATTTATATAAATAAGCCTGATGCTTTATGATTTTAGCCTGTTTTTCAAATCCTGTACTGTATTAGTGCATAACTCTAAATTTTATATGAAGTGTTAACTACTGTCTTCACATTTTGGTTAGACAAAACAATTGCTCTAGGCCTAAAACTCAAGGACACCCTACAGCCTCAGGCTTCAAAAAGTATAAAGAAAAGTGAATTCTGGGAGCACGGACTAGGGGAATATGACTTCATTACCTGAAGCTGTAATTGGAGGACTAACCCCCCGATTTGCAAGTAGACCAAATTTCTATCTGTCTGGAAGACTCATGACCATCATCCATTTTGGGTGTAGCCCCTTAGGAAAGCTTTGTCTGCCCTTGATGTACCTGAAGGCCCTTCATTATATATATCTGCTTTTATCCTTTTAACTTTGTCAGGACTCTGTTTCTAGGTAAGCCTGAAAAAGACATCAAGCCAAAAATATGAAGAGGTTGGGAAACCTCTCATAGCTGACGTTCTTCAGTTTGCCTTTCTGTCTTTACATTCATGACAACTATTCTTCCCACATCTGGTTAATTAAAATGGGAGCTATGAATGTAAACACTATGTGCTTCCAAAGTTTGTAGCACAGTTACATCAGTTCTCAGAGTGAACAGAGGCTTCTTGTGGAGTCACATTGTGTCATATAATATCAAAATTATCTGAAGCTGATGAGGAAATTGGAATGTTGCTGTGCTCAAAGTTCCTGGAGTGTCTATACAGCATGATCTCCAGTACACTGTAAAATTATTTAGGCTGGAAGGGATCCATGGAGGTCATCTGGTCCAACACACCACATATAGCAGGGCCAACTTCGAAGGTGGATCAGGTTGCTTAGGGTTATTTGAGTTCCCAGTGTTTTCAAGGATGGAGATGTTAGTTTGTGTAAACTGCTTGATTAATCTTATCTAAAGAAGGCCCTACTATGTATTCCATTTCTCTTGCTGCAAACTGAGAGAAGTAGCCTGTTGCTTATGCATACACATTTGCCCACTCGCTAAACACAATTTGCGTTTAGCACCAACTGCACAACAGAGTTCGCTTTTGTAATACCTTCAGAAATTAATGTTGTGTAAATGCACATCCATACCCAATGCCAAAAGGCTTAAAATTTATCATGCCTACCTTCAGCAGTCTGGAAGTTAGCCTAGATTTCTTTTCCAAACTATCTACTGTCAACAAAGGTGGGGTAGAGTGTCGCTATAGGACACGAGAAAGCAAACGCGAGCCAATTGCTACCTTGCAAGGCCAAAAAAGAGAGCGTTTATTTTCTGACTCCAACTTTTATACTTCTCCAAAGGTGACAGTGGATTGGAGAGTGAACGGGCCACCTCTCCAAAGACATTGGACAAAGCACTAGTACATCAAGTCTCTCCACCCCCATGGAGGAATGCAAAACAATACATTATTTACAGAAACTGTGTGGGAAAGTTTCCTAATAGAATGTAAATTCAGAAGGCTTAAGAAAACTCAAGAATCAGGGCGACATCTCACCCTTTTTAGTTTAAAAGAAAAGGAAAAATGAATAAGGTTCAGTGTCTGTTCGTGGAGGAATCATCAGAGTGATCACCCACCGTCATCTTCAACTGAGTCATCACTCGATGATCCATCCATTTGATGACTTTCAGTTTGGTCACGGCTTCTATGTTGCCCGTTTGTCAGATTCTGTCTCTGCGGTTGCAGATCAGGACGAACACACCTTGAAGGTACCCAGTGTACCCCAGTATCTGTGGATACACAAGCATACCCGCGCCCCGAAGCGATAAGGTCATAGGGACCTTCCCATTGTTTAGTGACTAAATTCCGCACTCGAACTTTTGCTCGAGGCTGATGTGCCTCGTCTGCAGCTTGCAATGAGAGATGATGATTTAAAATGACAGGGTTGTTTGAATTCTGCTGCACTGTAAGATGATTGATGGTGTACAATGCTTTCTCCAACCGACTGTGCGGGGTCTCACCCTGCATTCCCCGTTTTTGTTTTTGAAGAACCCGCTTCAGAGTACCATGAGCGCGTTCTACAATAGCTTGGCCGGTTGGAGAATGGGGGATACCAAACTTGTGTGACACACCCCACAACTGTAGGAACTGCCGCACCTGCTGCGATGCATAAGCAGGACCATTGTCAGTTTTCACAGCAGAAGGTATGCCTAGAACGGCAAAGGCCTGCCTCCAGTGGGCAATGACATCACGAGCCTTTTCTCCAGTGTGAGCGGAAGCCCACATCGCAGAGGAGAACGTGTCCACCGTGACATGCACATACTTGAGCCGGCCAAACTCGGCAATCTGGGTGACATCAGTCTGCCAAAGCTCCAAGGCCCTAAGGCCTCTAGGGTTTACCCCTGCTGGTAAAGGCGGAGCAAGTGCATGGCAGTCGTCACAGGACTCAACAATGCTACGAGCCTCTGTTGGCGTTAGCTGAAACTGCTTCTGCAGAGTATGTGCATTCTGATGGAAAAACCCATGTGATGCCTTGGCCTGTGCGAGTGTATCAGGCTGGGGTGCTACCCACGCCGGATTAGCCAACTTGTCAGCCCTCGCGTTACCTTCTGCTACAAACCCTGGTAAATTGGTGTGACTTCTCACATGCAGAACGTAAAACGGATGAACCCGGGCCTGAATAGCACACCACAAGGTCCTCAGTAAATGAAACAAGGCAGGGTTACTGACCTCCTTCAAAACTGAGTGACCCAACCGCTGTGCGATATCAGCCACATAGGCAGAATCCGTGACCAAATTGAAAGGTTCCTGGGAAAATCTCTCAAATGCCATAACAGCGGCCCTCAACTCAACCACTTGGGCCGACCCATCCTGATGACCTTTCAGAACCTTCCACTCAGATCCGTCCTTCCAAGTAACAATGGCCTTTCCTGTTTTCCCCGAACCGTCAGTAAAGACGGTGGGTCCTTGCACAGGTTCCTGACTATTTTTGGGCCGCAAAGAGATCTGCATAGATTTTGCCACCTGCAGTAGCTTGTGGCTGGGCAAATGATAAGTGATCTGCCCTGAAAAGTTTTCTAGAGCACATTGCAGGGACACACAGTGTGCAAAGCTCCAGTCAAAGTCCTCCCGGGATATCGGGAGTATGATCTTTGCAGGATCCGCACCCATCAATTGCAAACACCGTTGCCGGCATTTCATTATCAACCGAGCAATCAACTCAGCCAATGTCGTTGCCGTCTTCTGCGGCTGATGGGGCAGGAAAACCCATTCCAAGATGTGCAAGGGATCGGACCATTTGTCACTCCATTGACCAATGATACCTGTGGGATGCGAATCTGGAGTGGTAACGAACACAGCGACATCAACGGAAAGATCAATGCGATAAACCTGACGGGCAGAAACAGCCTGCTGAACCTCCTCCAGCACCTGACGTGCCTCAGGGGTCAATGTGCGAGGTGATTTTAAATCAGAGTCTCCTTTCAACAGATCATACACAGGAGACAGTTGTGCATCGGTTAGTCCCAAGTATGGACGTAACCAGGTGATGACACCCATCAGTTTTTGAACATCATTCAGTGTCTTCACCGAGTGTGCAAATTGCACCTCCTGGTGTTGGATTGTCCGTTCCAGAATTTTGACCCCCAAATACTTCCAAGGCGGTTGCTGTTGAACCTTTTCTGGAGCCACCTGCAGCCCATGAGCATGCAAAGCATCGAGCAACCGAGGCTGAATCCTCAGCAGCTCATCCTGAGTGGACGCAGCCACCAAGATGTCGTCCATATAATGATACAGACGTGCATCAGGAAACTGCTTGCGAACTCCAGACAAGGCACGGGCCACATACCATTGGCATATGACCGGGGAATTGCGCATCCCCTGTGGCAGAACTTTCCATTGATATCGCTGTGCAGGCTCATCATTGTCAATTGCTGGCACCGTGAAGGCAAATTTCGGTCTGTCATCGGGATGCAAAGGAATTGTAAAGAAACAATCCTTCAAATCCACGATGAAGATCGGCCAGCCTGCAGGAAGCATGGTAGGCGATGGCATGCCCGCCTGCAATGTTCCCATGCCTTCCATGACAGCATTGACCTTCCGGAGGTCCTGTAACAACCTCCATTTCCCAGACTTCTTTTTGATGCAGAAAACAGGGGTGTTCCAGGGACTGTTAGAAGGCTCCAGACGACCCTGGTCCAGCTGCTCCTGCACCAATTTCCGAAGGGCGATCAGTTTATCTTGAGGGAGGGGCCACTGGTTTTCCCAAACAGGTGTATCCACCAGCCACCGTATAGGAGGCGTAGGACACTCTGCGCCCTTCGCTGCAGTGGCCCCCATCAAAAACCCGTCCCAATGCGCACCCCCCACGCAGATAGAACATCCCTCCCCCAGAGGTTAGCAGGAGAAGAAGTAACATAAGGCCTAATCCAGGCCGTCTGTCCCTCTGGGTTTGTGACCAGCACAGGCCGTTGGCTCACATAACACCGTGCTGTTCCCCCCAGGCCCGCAACAGACGTCTCCGCTGGATCCAGGGGCCAGTCCGGAGGCCAGGCGGCAAGGGAGAGAACCGTGACATCAGCGCCGCTGTCAAGGAGCCCGCGCAGGCGGATCTCTGACGGTGTTGCATCAGGGATGGAGAGGGTACACAGCATCTCGGGACGGTCTTTGGTCAGGACAGCAGTCCAGTGAACTTGAGGCGGCCCAGTGGATCCAAAACCGCCATCACCTCGCAACCGGTCAGTCGTCCTGCGCACAGAAGACTTAAAAGGCACAAGTTGAGCAAGCCGTGTCCCTTTTGGGATCGTAACAGGGGGTGTGGGTGTGGAAACCATTGCACAAATCTGCCCTGTGAAGTCTGCATCAATGAGACCCAGGTGCACAATGACGCCCTGAAGGGTGGCACTAGACCTCCCCATGAGGAAGGCGCTCATGCCTTCACCCAAGGGACCAAAGGCGTCCAGGGGAACCTTGTGCACCTTGCAAGAGTCTAACACGACTGTTGCTGCTGTGCAGACATCCACACCTGCTGACCCGCGGGTGCTGGCGACAAGCTGGCCGAGCAGACCTCCATGGGCTCTGGGGTCTGGAGAGGAACTTGTGTCTGAGCGCGCCCCCCCTTCGCGCTCCGCTTCCCGTTTCCCGGGCCCGGGAGTGCTTGGCCATTAACATGAACCGTCGCCTTGCAAACCTCTGCAGGATGGCCTGGCCTTCCACACCGGCCACAAACATACGAGGGAAATTTTCCTTTCTGTGCTTTCTTCCCCCGTTTGGTGCTCGCCTGAGCAGCACCCCGGGGCTGCTGCCAGCCCTGCGGTGCTGCCCAGACCGGCTGCGCAGCAGCAGCCCAAGCATCCGCCTTCCGAACCGAGGGGCCTAGGTCTGCACAGGCCGCTGCCATCTGTGAAAGTGTAGCCCCTTCAGGAAGAGCCTGTATGATTCTCTTGCATTCTGCGTTGCAGTGGATCCTAGCAAATCTCGCAAGGACCATTCGCCTTAGCTCAGGTTCTACCACCTGCCGCTCCACCGAGGCAGTCAACCTCGATGCAAAGTGCATGAATGACTCATCGGCCCTTTGAACAACAGTCAGAAAGGGTTCCATCGGGGCAGCCATTTCTAAGGCCTGGATCACAGCTGCTAAGCCTAACGTCCTGCACTGCTCAAGCACGAGAGGATTGTATCCCGCCTGCCCCTGAGGATCAACATAATTACCTGTGCCCATCAACATGTCAGCGGTAGCTACACGTCTGGGATCCTGCTGCCCCCGCGTAGCATTCTTCCGTACTGCACCGGCCACTAAAGCGGCCCACTTGTCCTCAAACACGTCAAATTCCACAGGGTCAAAAAGAGCCTGAGCCACAGAACGAATATCGAAAGGCGTCAGCAGGTTAGCAGCAAGTAATCGGATCGTCTGCATAACCTCAGCAGACCCAACACCATACTGTGCAACGGTGTCTTGGATTTCCTTCAACACCTTAAATGAAAAAGGCTCATGAGTGTTATGAGTAACACCCCTAAGCACAGGGAAAGCCTGAGGACCTCCTGGTAAGGCTGCATTATCCACTGTATCGTGTCCCGTAGCCTCCGGGACACTGGCAGCCCCTGGGCTGCGAGGCGGTGCAACATCACCGGACACCACGCCCCCCGCAGCATCAGCAGAGCCAGAGGAGCTTTTCCCTTGATCCGGCAGGCTCCGCGAGGGGCCGAAGTCGCACATCTCCTCAGCCTTATCCAGGACCTCCTGCCAAAACCGCCCGTGGTCCTTCGGACGCACGGTCACCTGGCAGGCAGGGAGGGTCCACAAGGTCGACTGGGAGGATCCGCGGCCACGGGGAGTCACCGGTCTCCCGCCGGCCGCGTCAGCAGTCGCGCTAAAGGTGAACACCCCAGCGCCCCGCTGTGCCACAGTCCCGGCCCCCGCGGCAGGCGGGGAAGGCGGAACCGAACCAGCCGGCGCCCCAGCGGTGCTGTCTGCAGTATCAGCAGAAGGCACCGCGGCGGGCGCAGGCGGAGGCGCAGACCGCAACCCCAGCGCAGCGCTCCCATCCCCCGGGACGGGGGAAGGACGGGGCGAAGAGGGAGACGCGGCGCGCGGAGACACGTCACCGCGGGACGACACAAGGGAGTCCGGCACGCCCCCAAGGAGCGTCGGACCCGCGCCGCGCAGCCTCCCGGTGGGCACCGCCCCCATCAGGCGGGACGGGGCGGGCTGCCCGCCTGCCGGGGCGGGGTCCGATGGAACAGTGACCAAGGCCCCGCCTTTGGCGGCCCCCACCGCCTGCGCATGCCCGGCAGGCCGCGCAGGCTCAGGGATCGGAGCGGGTTCCTCCTCAGAAGATGAGCCCGAGACCGGACCAGGCGAATGCGCTTGTGTCTTCCCCAGGGGAAATGTAACACCACAGTTCGGGCAATTCACCGTCACCGAGTCAGACGCAATCCGAGGCGGGGGCTGATCCACGGGCCCCCGTTCACCCCCGAGCGCCGGGAAGGCACAAAGAGAAAGTGCTTTCCCGCCCAGCCCACTACGCCTGCGGCGCGGGGCAGGGCGAGGCGGCCGAACCGGCTCCACCGACCGGATGCCTGAAGTCAGTGGCCTGGGAGCCCGAGCCACACCAGAGGAGGAGCCACCTTCCGGCTCACTCCCCCCGGGGCTAGGGGAATCAGGGCAACTGTACAGAGACTCGGCTTCCCCAGCATCCGCATCCAAGACAGATAGGTCCCCCAGAGAAGCCCGAGAACTGCCAACCTCAGACCCCTGCCAAATGGCATCCAGCCTCTTAAACAGCATCATCAATGGCCCAACATCTTCAAAACGATTATCAAGCAGGGCATCCAGGAGGCGATCTCCCACGGGAGACCAATTCTCCCAGGAAAGGGCCTCAGCAAGATTGGGAAAGAATCCCTGCTCCCTTGCCCATAAAAAAAGCCTCTCAAAATCATCCCAATAAAAGGGAACGCGTTTCCGCTTCAGCACCTCCCTCCAAACGTCCAAAGCCACAGACTCCTCCCTAATGCCCTCAAAGCTCTCCATTACCAAAAAAAAACCAGCAATAGACAACGCTCTAAACAAACAGAAAAAACCTCACCAAGTTCCCAGCCTAAGCTGCAATACACTTCGGCGGTCACCAGATGTCGCTATAGGACACGAGAAAGCAAACGCGAGCCAATTGCTACCTTGCAAGGCCAAAAAAGAGAGCGTTTATTTTCTGACTCCAACTTTTATACTTCTCCAAAGGTGACAGTGGATTGGAGAGTGAACGGGCCACCTCTCCAAAGACATTGGACAAAGCACTAGTACATCAAGTCTCTCCACCCCCATGGAGGAATGCAAAACAATACATTATTTACAGAAACTGTGTGGGAAAGTTTCCTAATAGAATGTAAATTCAGAAGGCTTAAGAAAACTCAAGAATCAGGGCGACAGTAGAGTGTTCTTGCATATCTAAAAATGAAGCTTCACAAAAGTTCCACTTCTCTCCACACTTTTTCTAACTTAGACCAGGGACCTAATAACTAGCCTGCCTATCATAATTTAATATATTTTGTATATTTAGATTGCTGCATCTTTAAAGGGAAGAACTACAAAAAAAGATCAGGGTCAGACAATGCACAGAAACACTAAATAATTGCAAAGTGATCAGCAGCATAACCAATTAAGTTTTGAAAATTCTGTAGCAAACGCTTTTCTTGTTTTTTCAAACAGAGCACTTAGTGACAGCTTCAAGTGAAAACAAATACAGAAAGTTTTAACTGATCATCAGACCAACACACATAAAAAAAGCATAATTTATTTATCATCTTTTTGCCATGAGTAAGCATTAACAATGAAATATTTAACTGTCAAAAGTCTTTATGAATATCTAAAAGCCTAATACAAATATCCAAACTATTAGTAAATATTTGTAATTTGAAGTGTTAACAATAAGACATTTAATAACTCTGCATTAAATCTAACAAGCCTTTTATAGAAGAATATTAATTTACAGTCATTCTTTCTAACAACTCTTTGTACAATAAAAAAAATTAGATTTGTATTTTTCTGCTTCCATTTCCCACCCAACCACACATATGGTTTTGTTCTCAGACTGAGCTACTAGCCGATCAAGCCTGATGGTAAAAATCCTCTCAGCCAAGGGTCCAAGATCTCAGTTTCAGCATCCAGCTCAAATGTTCTTTGGGGAAAAATATCTATATTTTTGTATAATGTGCAAAGTGCAACTTTTATCCAGTGCCATCAGAAGTGTGTGCTGCTATGAACATCACCAAAGAATAAATCAGTAAAACTTAAGACTTCTCAATTTCCAATTGCTCTCTTACGGACAAATGTTAGATGATGTCTACAAAAACGACAGATCAAGTGGATTTTATCCTGGTGCTTACTGGGTCAGGTGCTTTCCAATTTCATTAGGCCAAACCAATGTTTTTACTCAAGTTCTTCAGTTTCCTCTGTAAAAAGGTCAGCCAAATCTGCCACTGTCAACACCGAGGCTTCTGACTGTTTCATGGAAGAGCTCGTGTGGCTGTGGGAAAAAATTGCACATGGGCATCAGAGAAAGAATCAGTGTAAGTAATGAGCTGTGTGCACTGAAGACAGAGCACACAGTTCAGAGTCAATACTTGCTCAGCTTTGAAGCTCAGCAGGAAAGCACACCTTCTGTCCAGGAAACACATACACTCATCAGCTACCGCTCCTGCACATCCTAAGTAACATAAAAACTCCATCTACTGTCCGCAAATGTGGTCAACACCAAACACTACAAAGGCAGCAGAACATGGAATAATCCACTGTGACGTCTTAACATTTAAGGGATTTGCTTGAGCTTCCAAACATGAGGTTTAATATTACTTTCAAAACATTAGCCCTCACATGATCACTTGACAATTGTACATTTATCCAAATTTTACGTGCAAAAATAGTGCTACTTCACAGATAAGGATAATAAATCATTCTTGAAGAGCTAAAATTGAAATATTCCATAACTACAGCCAAAGATGTGCATGTAATTTTTAGTTATTATCTGTAACAGGCAAAATTTCCTTAAACTAAGGCCTCCTCCTAGATTTGTCATGTGTACACCATCTGGTTAAAAGGTACAAACCTCTTACACTGTCTGCATAAGGAATATAAATAGCATTTTTAGTCCCGCTCCAATCCATCACTGCTTATAGATTTTGGAAAGCTAAACCACAGTGAGAACTGCTTTCTGTGTCTGCACACCAGCCTCATGCATGACTTAACATCTGGACAATAGTTGCATGGACTGTGAAACCAAGAAGTGTGACACAGCACTGTCAGATGAGGTTTGTAGGATTAAAAAAATAAAATAACAAAAGAAAGAACGCATGTCCTGTGTTAGAGTTTATGATATATTGTTGCTCTAGTGGCAGGCTTAGTACTAGTCCATAAATTGCAAAGTTTTTATACCAATGAAAATAGGTAAACTGAAAAGATAAATCACACCATAATATATAATTTATTACTTGGGCTTTTATGAAATAAAATACATAAAACATAACCAAGATATTCTCCAGAGAATTAAAATACCTTAAGCTGCAAGTTACTGGAACCAGGTTAAAACTTTGAAAGTCTTAAAACTGTTTCGCCAATCAAAACAGTTTGAAGAACAGTTGAAATTATATATAAGATATACGTTCTTAACCATAATAAAAGTATGGTGGAGAGCCACCTTTTCATTTTCAGCGCAATAATGGCATCTAAAAAAAATCAACACATACCTTCTATCTACAGTTTTCAGCATAGTCTGCATTCTCTCTTCTATTGTTGCTTTTATCAGGAACCTATGAACAATCGTAGATCTGAATGTGTTTAAAAAAAAGAAAACGCCACCATGAGTGAGAGAAGTTGCACTGTTACTGCCAAAGTTTATAACCATATTTTTTTCTCATACTAATTCTATCAAAAGTGTTGAAAATATGCCTCTGGTTTTTAAGAAATAAATATTAGAAGTGACTAGCAACTTCCACTGACATTTCAGAGTGCTTAGCGCTTCCCTGTAAACATACTTTCACTTTACTGATCACACACTAAATGAATGTAAGCTGTAAAATCCTAACATAGATACAGGGCAAAGTTCTGCTTTCTGTGTCCTTACTAGAAACATTTCTCCAGAGCCTAAAGAAAAAAGAGTTTTGCCCACTGGTTATATACAATGTTCATACTTCATTGTCACAAATTATTCCAAGAGACAAGAGCTCAATATGATGGATAATTGAACCTAATACCCAGAGTTTTAATAATATTATTTTTGAAGACAGCAAAATATAACAATTTTTTTAAAAAAAGAAGTTGGTAATTGTAGTCAGTAAACACTGGTAAAATACAAAATACAAAATGTCAATAAACATACCACAAAATTACATTTCCATTTATGAAATAAAATTAAAAAAAATAAAGCAATAATTTAGAAAATAACAGGCACCAGAAAGTAAAATGGAAAAGAGTCAGATCCAAAGATAAAAATGAAAAAGCACAGCATGCTCCCCAGTATAAACATTTTTAAAGGTAAGGAATGCTTAGATGGTTTTCAGGTCTTAGGTTGAAACTTTGGCAGGTAACCTTTCACAGAAAAATGCAGGGGGAATGCTTTTGGATTTACAAGCAAAGGTCTATCTCCAAAAAAGAGAAGTAAGTAAGAACTGAACTGGTAATAATTGCACCAGTGACACTAAACAGTATTCCCTAACGCTCAGTGTACTTGGGACACAGCCCTTTTTAAAAATATGCCTAGCTGAAATCTTAATTCTTAAAAAGTACAAAGTATTCTTGGTGGTTTTATTGCAACATTTTTGCCACATCTGTAGTGCCAGCACCATGTAGAATTCCAGTGTGGACTGTTGCAATCAGTCTTTCCTATGCCCTCACAGTTAATTCAAAATCTTTACCATCACACACAAATATCCACCTGTTCATAACATTCTTTCACATACATGCTCCATCATGTCTACTTCCAGAACACAATCCCCACTATTATTCTAGAGTATTGTTATTCCAGAATCTACTGCAGTTACTTTTCTTCTTCATGTACTGGGCTTTAAATTTTATTTTTCTAAAGTCATGAGCCTTAGGAAAAACACACCTCACATGCTGAGGACCAACTTTCTAAAACCTTTTAAAAGTGCTACCTATGTCAGAGCAACAACACTGAAACAAACAAGAGATGCAAACTCATTAATGTCTTCAAAAAGACAGGAGCAAGGGCAGAACTGTGATTTAAAAACTTATCAGTTCTAATGAGAGTGTGCTATAACTTTCTTTTTGGAAAAAAAACCCAACTAAAAAAAGCCCAAAACAAGGAAACAAAAAAAAAAAAAACCAAAACAAAAAACACCCAACAATTTAAGCAGCTCCTAATCTGGAGCTGAGAATGACCAGTTAGAAAGAGTGTCTCAAGGAAACTCCAAAAGACCATGCCTGAACGTAGCCATATATGACATAAATGATGACTTGCTTGGATCTGCAAAGCTAAGACATTTCTGGACATTTTTGCAAGAAGAATTCCAAAGTTAAAAACTAAGGCAACAATGGCACACATAAAATAGGGCAGCAGCTGAACAAGGTTTTTTCAGATATATTCTGGATCATATCAAAATCATTGAACACAATTGTAAATCTTACTTTGTTTGGCCAATACGATGTACTCTGCCAATAGCCTGTAGCTCATGTGCTGGATTCAGAATGGGCTCCACAAGCAGAACATGAGTTGCTTCGATGATGTTTAGTCCATTGGAACCAGTGTGAAGAGGCAGCAGCAAAATATTGATGTTGGGATCATATTTAAATGCAGACAGGTTTTCCTAAAAGGCAAACATCACAGCAGTGTGACAAAAGCTCCTTAATGAAGAGCGTGGGGGACAGGACTGTATTTTCAACAAATTATGGCAATTAATACAGGCTCCAGAATAACAATCTTGCAGGTCTGTCACCCCAGAACAGATACATGACAGTCTCAGGAAGGCATGAACTTCCTGCAACACTGATCAGTGTGTCTCATCCTTAACTTCCATGCCAACGCATCTTTCTCAAAAGTGAGTGCACTGCTTATCTCCAAATGCTTTAAACGAGAACTTTTTGAGATTATAATTTTTAGAATGAATAAGTTAGAGATCAAAGCTTCTGAAAGACAAATTTGCTGATTTTTTTAGTTTTGGAAATGAAGCAACAAAGTTAAAAGGATCAGATTAACTTCTATGAACTTCTATGATTTTCCCACTGAAAATAATTTAAGAGAAATATCCTTTATGTACCTGAAATTTACTAATTCCATTGATCTGAGAAAAAACCATGTTGTTGTCATACAAAGCTTTTGAAATTATATCCAACACATCTTGCCACTGTAAAAAAAAAAAACAAAACAAAACCACACAACACAATAAAAGTAACTCAACATTACAAACAGCAATGAAAACTAAAAAATAATTAACTTCCCTAACAAAGAGTAAATTTAAAAGCTTTTCAAAATGCTAGGATTTGCAATTTTTTAAAAAAATTTTGTGCTAGAAACCAAATCTTTCATAAAACTATGACAGGTAATTAGAAAGATCAACTTGAATAAAGGAAATTGGCAGCCATTGCAAAAACAATTTTACTATGTATCAAAAATAT